TGTGTGTGTGTGTGTGTGTGTGTTACTGTGTGTGTGTGTGTGTGTGTCTGTGTGTCTATGTGTCTGTGTGTGTGTGTGTGTGTGTGTGTGTGTGTGTGTGTGTGTGTGTGTGTGTGTGTGTGTGTGTGTGTGTGTGTGTGTGTGTGTGTGTGTGTGTTAACAGGAGGTGATGAAGAAGAGGATGTGAGGAAGAGCTCTGGTTGCCACGGTGACTTTGCTGGTGTTTTGGCTGCAGGACGAGGACAGATGTTGAGTCTCTGGTCTGGAGGGTGAAACAGTGTCGATGCAGCTCTGAATGTTCAACACTTTTATCTGCATGAAGGAGCGTTCACACAGTGTAACACAACAACACAACGTTCAACAACACAACGTTCAACAACACAACGTTCAACAACACAACATTCAACAACACAACGTTCAACAACACAACGTTCAACAACACAACGTTCAACAACACAACGTTCAACAACACAACATTCAACAACACAACGTTCAACAACACAACGATCAACAACACAACGTTCAGCGTTGGGGGGGCAGTAGATTAGTAAACAAATGGCTGCAGGAGGATGGAGGCGTTATGTTTAAAATGAATTCCAAACAAAAATCCAAAAATTATTATATAAATACTACAGATTTCAATGTTTTATCTGTTATTATTGTTGTTTATTATTGTTGTTTTATCTGTTATTATTGTTGTTTTATCTGTTATTATCTGTTATTATTGTTGTTTTATCTGTTATTATTGTTGTTTTATCTGTTATTATTGTTGTTTTATCTGTTATTATTGTTGTTTATTATTGTTGTTTTATCTGTTATTATTGTTGTTTATTATTGTTGTTTTATCTGTTATTATTGTTGTTTATTATTGTTGTTTTATCTGTTATTATTGTTGTTTATTATTGTTGTTTTATCTGTTATTATTGTTGTTTATTATTGTTGTTTTATCTGTTATTATTATTATAACAGATACAAATCTGTGATCACACTGACAATAACATTTAATGAGCCAGAGTAATATCTGTATTAAAGGTGGAACTGCTTCATTATTATTATTATTATTATTATTATTATTATTATTATTATTATTATTATTATTATCCTCGTGTATGTTTGTATCACATGTAATCATAAATGTATAACATATTGTTTAATATGAATATAATCATATATAAGAATATATATATATAATTATATATATAATACATTGAGTGCATTACAATGTGTTCATATCTGTCTTCAGTGTGTTCTCTGGTTATAAAGAGGATGAAGATGATGAAGAGGAGGCTGTTGGCTCTGAAACTCCACCAGATGCTGAACATGACATTTCCTGGCCGCTGCACTGAGGGGGGGGGCGCTGCCTTTCATCCCCCGACCCCCCCGGGCGAGGAGGCTACCTGACGGAGAGCGAAGGCCTGGACGCTGCTCCTCCACCAGCTGAGGCCCCCGAGGGCCCCTGCAGCACTGCAGCTGCAACAGCTGCCCCTGAACACATCACACACTGACACAAACACACACACACACACACAGACACACACACACACACACACACACACACACACACACAGTTGAGCATGGACAGTCAGATGTGGGTGAATATATTTTCCTTTCAGAGACAGTTGGACGAACAGAAGTTGTTTCATTTGGTTTCAGTGAGATAAAATCACTGGTTTTGTAGAGTCTGGTGCAGTTACACACTCACACTCACACACAGACACACACACAGACACACACACACACACACACACACACACACACACACACACACACACACACACACACACACACACACACACACACACACACACACACACACACACACACACTGACACACATACACTCACACTTTGCATCTTATCGTCCTGTGTGATCTGCGTCAGCAGCTCGGCGGCGGCGCTCTGATGCTCCGACGTGCAGCTGGAACATGCAAAACACGACCTGGAGCCGCCGCCGGCCGACATTCAAATCCAGGAAGCCACAGACGGGTTTTACTGTCTCACTGACATTTTCATAACAGAAGACTGAACGCTGCAACAACAACTGGCTTTTGTTGTTTGTCTTGCAAATGTTCCAGTTGGACCTTTAGGACTGTTACTGATTCACCTGCACACACCTGAGCCTGTTTCATACCTGAGCTCACTGTACTGTGGAATTATTCATCATTAGTTCATTAGACATTAATAATACAGACAGTATTAGCTCATCATTAGTTCATTAGACATTAATAATACAGACAGTATTAGCTCATCATTAGTTCATTAGACATTCATAATACAGACAGTATTAGCTCATTATTAGTTCATTAGACATTAATAATACAGACAGTATTAGCTCATTATTATCTCAGTTTCTCCCACGCTGTTGGACAGACAGAGGACGTCCCGGAGCTGCTGCTAACGTTAGCTCAGCTTGTTTCTCTGATAACTTAAGATCCAGACGTCCGATGACTAAAATCCTTCATCCGGTTCAAATCTAGAGTTAAAAAGCACCAAGATCTAAACAGTGGATGGTAACAATGTGGCTTCAGACTGGATCAACAGTCAATGTATGACAGCTTCTGGCAGACAACCACAACGCTGACGCAGGCACAAAGGGGATATGACGCCATCGACAGGCGGCCGGTGAAACGCAGCGTTACCTGAATAAAATGACAGATTTCTGTGAGTTTGAACGTTGTTGGAAACATTTGTGATAATGGAAGAACTCAACTACATAGAGAACATAGAGCTTATACACTGTTTGAGGTAACATTAAATGAATTGACCTGGTTGGATAATTAACTCTTTAAACTCTGTTTGAGGAGAATTGAATTCATTTCTGAATTAATGTTGTGAGTCCTCGCAGAGCGTCCTCTGATTGGAGACAGTTAAAGGTTCAACATTCACTCGACGATCAATATTTATTTTCTGAATTATCTTTTAATTCTGAGTTTCCACAGGTTGATTTTTATAAATATCTGATTTTCACCTGGAGGTTAATCATTGACAAACATTTGACTTCAGTCAATAAGCTGTTTAATGAAAGTCATTATTTTATAAACTGGTATAATATTAACCCTTTATAGGAACCATATATGGTCACTTCATTATGACGGGTTAATTACACTTCTCTGGCAGATTTTGGTGTTTTTTTATGGGTGATATACGAATATACTCTTCACTGTTACGGCTTTCTTTCACAAATAATTCACAGTGGGCTCCATCTTGATTTGTTTACGGCTTATTTATTACATATTTTAGTATATTGAGGTGGCATATTTCTTTTGCAGCCGCTGTGTGTTCATCCTTCTATAGGAAGAGGAAGCCGCTGTGTGTTCATCCTTCTATAGGAAGAGGAAGCCGCTGTGTGTTCAGCCCTTCTATAGGAAGAGGAAGCCGCTGTGTGTTCATCCTTCTATAGGAAGAGGAAGCCGCTGTGTGTTCATCCTTCTATAGGAAGAGGAAGCCGCTGTGTGTTCATCCTTCTATAGGAAGAGGAAGCCGCTGTGTGTTCAGTCCTTCTATAGGAAGAGGAAGCCGCTGTGTGTTCAGTCCTTCTATAGGAAGAGGAAGCCGCTGTGTGTTCATCCTTCTATAGGAAGAGGAAGCCGCTGTGTGTTCAGCCCTTCTATAGGAAGAGGAAGCCGCTGTGTGTTCATCCTTCTATAGGAAGAGGAAGCCGCTGTGTGTTCAGTCCTTCTATAGGAAGAGGAAGCCGCTGTGTGTTCATCCTTCTATAGGAAGAGGAAGCCGCTGTGTGTTCATCCTTCTATAGGAAGAGGAAGCCGCTGTGCCACAGACGGTTGTTGACGTAGATATCTGACTTTGATTTTCAGACTAAAATGTCTTCTTATATCCACCAATAATAATTGGTATATATATAAAACACTCCAGGGTTGAAATTTTAAATGTCCAAGTATTTCAATGAGTGCCCTGTAAAGGGTTAAAGGGCCAATTCATCACATAGTTAGCCTAGCTTAGCATAAAATAAGCAGTTCCAGCCTGTAGTTTTTATATCAAATAAAAATTAACTTGTTACAGACTGTCTGTCTGTCTGTCTGTCTGTCTGTCTGTCTGTCTGACAGCTCGTTAACTCTCAGAGCAACGTTCAGACAGACAGACAGACCTTTAAGACTCCTGGAGGCTTTTATTGTGAAGGGCTGAAGGAAGTGTTTCATTAGCTTTAATGCTAAAACTAAAACATGTTAATAACGTTAATATAATAAAGTTTGTTTACAGCAGAGGTCAGAGGTCAGAGGTCATCCTCCTTCATCACTTGTTCCTGATGTTAATCAGCTCTCGTCTCAAGAACTGAATTTAATTTACTGATTTTCATTTTGAGATAAAGACCTCCTGACCCCGATTAGTCTGAACAACAACAACAACAACAACAACAACAACATTAAGCACATTGTGTGTGTGCCTCTCACCGTCCAATCAGACGTCACTCTGACACTTGTCCTTTCAAAATAAAGTTACAGTGTGTAAATCAAACAGCAGGAAATCACATTGAGCTTCGTCGCCGTGGAAACAGTTCCTGTTATTATTATTATTATATCACAGTGCCATCAGTGATCAATATTATCAATGAGGACGTCTTCAGCTTTATTCAAATTAATTCATCAACAAACTGTCAGAAAATTATAAAGCAAAAAACTAAAACTGATAAAAATAGTTTTCATTGAATTTAACAGGTGAACCGGAGCTGTGAGAGCGTTAGCTTAGCATAAAAACAGTTCTGAATCTTTGTGTTTTATAAGTTATTGATTATTGATCATATGAGATTCTTTCATTAATTCAACTTTGGTGTTTTTGGTGGTAGGAGTTCACATTATTGTGTCCACCCTCACACTGTGTTTTATTCTGATATTTTATTTATTTATTGTTGATAAATATTCATTTATAGGTTATAAATCAATAATAAGGTTCCAGGTACCAGGTGAGCTGCTGAACTCTGATTGGCTGTTCAGAGGATGACGGACTCCGGAGAGAGCCAATGGGAGTCCAGCTGAGGCTCTATAAGAGGCTCAGTGAGTCTGGTCCGGGTCTCCAGTCCCGGTATCGATCCGGTTCTCTGATGTGAGACTCCAGCAGCTCAGCGGCCAGCAGGAGATATGAGAGCCGGCAGCCCGCTGCTGTCTGCGGGCAGGAGGAGGAGGAGCAGCCGCCGGAGCCTCCGCTGCTCTCCGCGGGGCTTCCCCCGGAACAAGAGCCCGGCGGCGGCGGCGGCGGAGGACCCGCGGGTCCCGGTGCTCCTGCTGCAGGACATGAACCTGTGTTACCGGCTGCTGCGGGAGCTGGTTCCGGGTCCGGTCCGGTCCGCCAGCAGGGTGGAGATCCTGCAGCACGTCATCGACTACATCCTGGACCTGCAGACCGAGCTGGACGCGGACAGCGGGGAGCCGCTCCACCGTGACCGGCCGCAGCAGCTCCTACAGCGGCCACAGAGCGGCCAGAGCCCCGGTACCCAGTACCAGCAGGTACTGATCGATTACTGCTTACTGATCAGGGATCGATTATCACAGTGTTTCTGTTTCATCAGTGTTTGATTTACTCTTTAGAAGTTGGTTTAATTATTGATTATTGATCAGTTATAAGAGTTGTCACAGTTTTTAAATGAATTACTAATTAAATCATTAAAGTCGATTTGATTTCATTGATCCTCAGAACTTAATACAAAATATTCTCGTTTATTTTTCTGACTTATTGATCAATTTGTTGTACATTTATGTGTTTATATTTAGTTTGTGAGCAGCATTAAGAGAACATACAATCCTGTTATTAAATATTAACATCCCTTGTATATGAACCACTAATAATAATAGTGATTATTGTCATTATAATCTTCCTTTAGTCACTTATTATAAAACAATAAACTTTATTAACATTACTGATAGTTGACATTGAACAGGAGGATCTGACCTTTGACCCCCAGCTCTCCTTTGTGTCTCTGCAGACCAGCCAGGTCCCTGAAACGGACCCTGAGGTTGAGGAGAGCCGGACTCTGCTGCACTGAGACAGTGAGAACACACAGTGGCTGCAGTATCACCAGACTCCCTTTACAAAAACACCATTTTAGAGTTTTTGATTGAAGAGAAACTTTATAAACTTTATAGACGACGATGTAAGAGCATTGTTAGTGTCAGTGTGTGTGTTCAGTTACAGAGCGAGGAGTGTGATCAGATCAATAATGGTTAATAATTGTCTCTTTCTGGCCGATGATGACGAGCACCACATTGTCTGTGTGTGTGTTTATGGGAACACGGAGCATGCTCAGTAGAGTCAGATTGTTGGAGGTTTTAATATTCGTGCACAATGTGACGTCGCGGTGTTCCTGTGGCGCCGACTGCAGGGCGACAGGAAGTGATCACAAACTCTCCAAACGCCCCGTTTTATTTACGGTCGCTCAAATCGAGAAACCAGGAGGAGAAAGTGATATTTAACAGGTAGCTGAGTTTAAAGTTCTGTCAGGAACCAGACTCTGTTAATAAAACCAGTCATTTTAAACTCCTCTGAGGTAAAACGATGTTTTTATTAATGCAGTCTGGTGACTTCGAAGAGAATCTGAATGTCACGTGCAGACAAACTCTTCTTCTTTTTGTTTCACTTTATTTACTTTCTCTTTATTTACGTCTCCAGACTTTAACGAGGCCTCGACTGGGTTTCTGTGGGTTCTCAGCTTAGTGTGGCTCAGAGGAAGTTGTCCCATCACAATAAAAGCATTGTGTCAGACTGCCCTGTTTCACTCGTTCACACGTTTCTCCTCCAGGTGTCTGAGGAGAGGACCTCGGCAGGTTCTTCTTCACGTTCACTCAGTTTGAGTCTCAGAGACGTTCGTTGACTCCACCGACGTCTGGAACCGGCATGTTGGGAGGGTTCTGGATTCTGTCGGGATCTGGACTCTGGATCTGGACTCTGGATCTACTGCGTTCAATCAGGCTGCTAAAAATCTGTGTTTTTAACATTAAGTCTGGTTCAGGTGAAACAACTTGAGACGTGAACAGGACGTCAGAGCTCCTTTCACTTCCTGTCTGTTTATCCACTCACCCTCATCCTCCTCCTCCTCCTCCTCATCCTCACCCTCATCCTCCTCCTCATCCTCACCCTCATCCTCCTCCTCATCCTCACCCTCCTCCTCCTCCTCACCCTCACCCTCACCCTCATCCTCATCCTCACCCTCCTCCTCCTCCTCATCCTCACCCTCACCCTCATCCTCATCCTCCTCCTCCTCCTCCTCACCCTCACCCTCCTCCTCCCCCTCCTCCTCCTCACCCTCATCCTCACCCTCCGCACCCTCATCCTCACCCTCCTCCTCCCCCTCATCCTCACCCTCACCCTCCTCCCCTCCTCCTCACCCTCACCCCCTCCTCACCCTCCTCCTCATCCTCCTCCTCCTCCTCCTCCTCCCCCCTCCGCACCCTCACCCTCCTCCTCACCCTCCTCCTCCTCACCCTCATCCTCACCCTCCTCCTCACCCTCCCCCTCCTCCTCACCCTCCTCCTCACCCTCACCCTCCTCCTCACCCTCCTCCTCCTCCTCACCCTCCTCCTCACCCTCACCCTCCGCACCCTCACCCTCCTCCTCACCCTCCGCACCCTCATCCTCCTCCTCATCCTCACCCTCATCCTCACCCTCCTCCTCACCCTCCTCCTCCTCACCCTCCTCCTCACCCTCCTCCTCCTCACCCTCATCCTCATCCTCACCCTCCTCCTCCTCATCCTCATCCTCACCCTCACCCTCCTCCTCACCCTCATCCTCATCCTCCTCCTCATCCTCATCCTCCTCCTCACCCTCCTCCTCCTCCTCACCCTCCTCCTCATCCTCATCCTCACCCTCACCCCTTATTCTGAAAACAAAGCACTTCCTTTGTCTTAGAGGAGCTTTATTGTGACAGGACAGGAAGTGTTTGTTGTTGTTAAAGTTTAATTTTATTGTTGTTCATCCTGTAAAAACACTGAGACTGTAAACTTTTATACAATCAATAAAATAAACTGTTTGTAAAGATGAAATATGAGGATTTATTTATTGATCTGCAGTCAATAATTGATTAATTGAGTTTATGAAGCAGTTTAAGAATTATTTTAACTTCAAAGTGACAAAAAAAAACTTTTGAAGGAAATTCAGTATTTTATTTTGTAGTGATCGGTACTAGAGGAAGCCTGAGATCAATAATTAATGTGTTCATTAGTTTTTATTAAACTGTAAATGTAACTTATTTAAGAAATATGTTTGTCTATGTTTAACAGTGTAGAATTATTATTGATCAATTACGTAACAGATTAAATGATTTAATGAAGCTATCGTATGAATGTGATGGATTATTGATTATTTATTATCTATTGATAAAAAATATAGGAAGAGATAATGTGACAGTACAGTTAGATCTAAACAAACAAACAGGAAACACAAAAAAAGACTGACTCTAAAATCCTCTGTTGAATATAAATATAAATATATAAATATAATATAAATATATATAATACAAATATAATATAAATATATATATAATATAAATATATAAATATAATATAAATATATATAATACAAATATAATATAAATATATAAATATATATAAATATAATATAAATATATATATAATATAAATATAATATAAATATATATAAATATAAAGGTATATTTGTATTAAATGTATATTTATATGTGTATTATGTGATTTATAGTCAGTGTTTGAGTCTCAGATTGTGAACTAATGTCGCCTCCTGGTGGTGAAAGCTTTAATATACTTTAATGTACTTTAATTCAAACACACATTCAAAGTAACGACTGTATTAAAATAAAGAAACTAATAAAAGTGATCAGATTAAAAACAGACAGCTTCAATGTTCAACATCCAGGTTTTATTTCTTTTAGTTCACAACATTAAAGTTGAGTTGAGAGCACTGAGACGCAAACTGTAAAACATGCAGACGACACGTAAACATTATTATAATAATACTCAGATATTTATCTTCTGTTTAACAATCAATATCTGCTCATTTCTTCTGACTGTCCAATTAAAGATTAAAGGAACAAACCTGCAGGAGTCAGTCGTTAATATTCATTAATATTCCTTAATATTTAACTTCAGCTTCAACCAACGATTACTTTAACTATTGATTAATCAGCTGATTTTTTTTCTCAATTAATCTGTGAAACCTTGAGTCCATTATGTCTTTAAATATTCTGTCCAACAGTTCAAACAGCAAAATATTCAGTTCACTGACATAAAAAGCAGCAACTTCTCACCTGAAACGATGAATAAATTATTAAAAAGTGCTAATTTATTTATTTTTTGACGCAGAAACACGATCACAGATTAGTTTGTTCTCACATAAACAGAAACACTGTGAACGGACACAAGTTAATACTGAACACTGACGTTTCCAACACACTGAACTTATTCTAAGACTTCATCAATAATTAGTTTAATTTAATTGTTTTTCTTTGTTTACAAACTGAGTCTAATTAGAATTATAATCACATTAACATCTTGTTTCTGTCACCAACACATTTAAATGTTTTACTAAATCAATTTAGTCTTTTAATTATTCAGTCAGTTTGTTTTAGTGGATCTGATTTATTGATTGATTTTATTGATTGATCTGCCTCCATCAACAGTTCAGTGTGTGAGAAAGTGCAGCAGCCTCCACAACAACAACAACAACAACAACAACAACAGAGTTTATGATCTAAAACTCAAATAATTATTAGTTTGTGATTTTAAAGTCTGTGGTTGGAAACCTGCAAATAGTTTACACATTGTCACACTGGTTTACAGGGACACTGACTTCACACTGGTTTACAGGGACACTGACTTCACACTGGGTTACAGGGACACTGAAGAGTGAACAGAAACTCTTATTTCAGCCCAGATCAATCAGTCAGTACCAGAACTCAAAGTAAAATCTACTGTTGTAATTTTTATTATAACTGCACATTAATGAATGAATCCAAATATTACTGACTACAGTCTGGATCAGTTCAATGTGTTTAGTTCCAGTAATTGTGTCCGTCAGAATAAAAGCAGTATGATGTTTGTACATCATGTCCTAATTTAAAACATCATAAATATGTTTGTTCTTTAACTCTTTATCTTTTCTAATGTTTTATAGAAACGTTTGCAGCTCCGTCTCATCAGATTATAAACTTTAAGTCTCAGTTCTACATTTTGTTCTTCAGTCCAAACAAATTTCACAATAAAATGTGAGAATGTTTGCCAACAATTAAAATAATTAACATCCACACCGTTACTGGAGGTTTAATGTAATAACATCAGTGGTCTCTGAGGATTTGTTCCTAATTATCAAATGTTTAATTTAATCTGGTTTAAATCCGATATTCTCCTCTTTAGAGATGATAATTCATAAACATCTGCAGCTCCTGATCTTCTGATCTCAGTGCACCTTCACTTCATACCTGCATACAAGTTCACAGCAGTGAAGACTCTAATATTGAACCAATAATAATAATAATAATAATACTAATACTGAAGTGTTGGTTTCTGGAGGCATTAGTCACATCACAACATGCAGCAGCTTCTAGTTCTAATAAAGTTTCTACACAACAACATCAAACTACTGATCAATAATCAATAACAGTCCGCCAGCAGCCGCTTCTACAACCTTCTCATGTCACATTATCATATTTCACTGTTTTAACAACAGATCAGGAGCTTTTCAGTTTTTATCTTTTCTAATAAATGGATTCATGTTTTGATAGTTTTAATTATTATTAAATTATTATTACTGATTGGTTCAGACGGTTGAAGGCGGCTCCTGGTCGGACCCTCAGTGCTCTCCTCGCCGTGAGGTCACAGGATGCTCTCCCGCTCCTCGCCGTGAGGTCACAGGATGCTCTCCCGCTCCTCGCCGAAGGTGACAGTGTCGGAGGACACGGTGCAGATCTCCGGCGGGTCTCCGGGTTTCAGCCCCCTCTTCAGGTGGACCACTCTGACGTTCTCATTGTTGGGCCCCGGCCGGGTGGCGGTGGTAGAGGAGGAGGAGGAGGAGCTCGGGGACATGATGACGTCACTGGAGGAGGAGGTGGCGTTGGAGGAGGAGCCCTCTGCGGGGGGGCGGGGCCGGTTGCCCTGCTGGGCGTTGGTGTTGTTGTTGAGCGTGACGTTGCTCGGCGTGCGGTTCAGGTTGTAGCTCTTGGAGGAAGGCCAGCTCTCCTCGGGGCTGCTGGCCAGCAGGCTGCACTGGTCCTCGGAGCAGATGGACATACGGGCGACCGCCGGGTCCTGGAGGCCGCTGAGGCTGCTGGGAAGTCCGCGCTTCCTGGCCTGGCTCTCCTCGTCCAGCTCGATCAGGTTGGCTCTCTCCAGCTGCGACAGGTCGGCCTCCTCGTCCTGCAGCGAGTGGTTGGGCGAGCTCTCGTTGGAGCGCACGCCAGAATCCGACGAGTCCTTCTTGTCCAACATGGCGTCCGACAGGTAGTCCTTCCCCTTCAGCGCCAGCGAGCCGCCGGGGAGCTTCGGGTCGACCACCTTCTTGCCATCTTTTAGGAGGGGAGCGTTGTCGGACTCCTCAGACTCCTCGTCATCGCTGGTCAGCTTCTGGTAGCGCAGCCCGCCGCCCGCCTTCAGCTTCAGGTCAGCGGCGCCCTGGAACAGCCCGCCTCTTTCCGCCGAGGTCTTGCGGGTCAGCAGAGACTTGGAGGACCCGTGGTCGCCCTTCTCGTCCTCCTCTGTGATGGGGTCCAGTGTGTCGCCGTTGGATGCAAAGTCGGCGTTGTCTGCTGCCGGTTTGCCGCCGCTCCTTTTGTTGAAGGACTTTCGTCCGTCCTGCTCGCCGCCATCTTTGCTCTTGTCCTCTGATGATGATGTCATGAACTGTCCCGGCTGCGGTTGGACGGGCCTCTCGCCGCCGCCGCCGCCGCCCATCTCCAGCTGAGCCATCTGGGCGATGTACTCCTGGTAGGCGTTGCGGTACTCGGACTGCTGTTTGTCTGTCAGCTTGCCGATGTCGTTGGAGGATTCCTGCGAGTTCAGGCTCGTCATGCTGGCGGTTCTGTGAGCGCCGCTCTGAGGAAACACCACAGAAGAAGAGTTGAAGAACCAGAACCTGTAGATATGCACATTAAAGGTCAAAGGTCGTCCAGTTTTACCATCCACTGCAGGTTTCCGTGTCTCGCCGGGTCGTCCAGTCCCACAGTGCTCAGCTCCTCGAAGCTCAGGTTGAAGCTGTACATCGGGGAGGCGTCCGGGTTGGCGCCGCCTGCGAGGGGCGGAGCCACGGCTCGCCTTCCTGCCTCGGTGTGACCGCCCATGACGCTGCCTTGCTCACTGGCAGCTTCCTCGTGCAACACCTGACTCTCAATGTGACGCATGTCCAGAACCTGCAGCCAGGAGGACGAAACCGTCAAAGGTTCAGAAATAAACTCAAATGTTTATATTTTCTGTTTTCTGACTGAATGTATCAGGATACTCTGACGGCTAACGGCTCTGGAAGACTTTAGAGAGTTATGAAGTTTTATTCTGTTTGTGACATGATGCATTTTCTTGAAAGTAGTAACTTGTTAGTTAGTAGCTTGCTGATGCTTCTATGCTAAAGTAACATTAACAGTTTCAGTAAAACTATCTTATGTTACCATAATAGCATCTTATGGTAACATGGAGCGTAATTTTATATGTGGCTGTTTTTCTACATTTGGTTTAAACAGAGAAAATAACTGACAGATAATAAATAAAATAAAAACATCTTTTTACTTACACTGTATAATGTTTGTATATATTTATAATGAAGGGAACTAGAGACCTAAATGATCATTAAATGACCTTTTACCAGTTCATGGTGTGGTGTTCGGTGTACTGACCGTGGCTCTGAAGAGTTGCCAGTCTCCAAAGTTCATGTTCATCTCTTTCTTCAGCTCGTCGATGTTACACTGAGACAAAACTCTGCCGTTAACGTTCGCCTGTAAACGAGACGCCGTTCATTAACCCGGAACATAAAAACACGTCACTCAGTCTCATTGGATCATTTTCTGCCACCGACCTTCCTGATGGTGGCGCTGTACTGTGCCATCATGCTCTGGTCGATGCCTTCGATCTGCCGCACGCGCTCGCACACGGATTCCGTCGCCATGGAGCTGAGGAGGATGGCGGGAGCACCCGACACCACGGAGGCCGAACCCTGAACACAAACACACGCAGGTTTGATTCCCAATAAAACACTTTAACAACTGTTTTAAAACTCTGGAAAATAAACTTTAAATGTTTTAAACTTTAGTTTCCAGTTTATAAACACTGCAAACTACATGAAGATATTAGTTTCTACAGATCTACAGACCTAACCTCCACTTTCTGAGATTATTGTGACTTTGATTGATCGATTGTTAACGATGGATCACCCTGAAGTTACTAATGCAGTTCCACAAGGTTCTGAACTTGGATCAATTCTATTCACTTTATATATGCTCCCTTTAGGCAACATCATTAGGAATCAATCCATTAACGTTCACTGTTATGCAGATGATACGCAGTTATATCTATCAATAAAGTCCAATTAAATTAACCAACTAGCTAAATTACCAACATGTCTTATGGACATACAAAGTAGGGATGTTCATCCCTTCACAACTAATTTTGCAGTCGATTACATAATTTAAATTTAGACTAGTCGAGTAAACGCTGTAAACATGTTGTGATGCTACGGACATGGTAATAAGTACTAATTTAATTCATCAGTTATTAATTGCTTCTCTACTCGAGGTCTTTTCCTTTCTTTTGCTTCTTGAGAAAATGTTTATTTTGGTAAGATAATTAAACCGTTCGTTGGTATTAAAGTCGTCACATCTGATTTTATTTTGTATTTCCTGAACTAAATCTGGAAAATCTTTTATTTAATATTTTATTTAGTAAACTGCTGCATTGAGACATATTTTATTTTGAAAAGGGTTAAAACAGTTACATTTAATATTAGTACAGAAACTGAGGTAAAATACATGTTTAAACTACAACAGTTGGTATTTATCGAGCATCTTGTGACTTGTTTTTATTGTTTACAGTGTGTGGGAGGGGAAAATGTGATGGGGGGTCAGCTGGGTCACTGAGCAGATCAAACACATCCTACTCTACTGAGGCTGCAGGCTAGAGGTGCATGCTGGGAGTTGTAGTAGGTGGAGCATTTCAGAAGGAATTAGTCTGAAAGTGGGACAGCAGGGAGGGTTCAATACCTGTTTCCTTTTCAAAGATGAAACCTTATACTGCAGACAGACAGACAGACAGACAGACAGACAGGTGAGGAATGAAACAGCTGGAGAGAAAACATCTGGAAACAGATGACTGACAGTAGGACAGAGAGAGGAAATGACTGCTGACAATATCTCTGACTGTTTCAGAGAGATAAGAAAGAACATTAAAATAAGTTTTGTAGTTTCTGGAACCTCGGATCAATAAACTGGAACTGGAGGCGGAGCTCCGTTCAGTGACGCACGACGTTCAGCGTTAATGTTGGTCAGAAATCTATCGTTTCACTTCCCCTGTACAAACTGTTTCATATATTACCGATCTGCAAACAAAGACTCTCTTATTGCCGCCACGCAGCCGAGACTCTGGCGACGTTCAGAAGCCACAGAAGAAGAGACAGAGGGCAGGGGAAGCGTGGAGCCCGGTGCCAACAACAGCAGAAGAAGACAAAGCAGAAACTAGAAGCTGGTGATGACGGGAAGGTTTTTAAAAATCTGTGAGTAACTGAATTAGTTTAAATGTGTCGAGGACCAAAACTATGGTAGCCCATTGGTGCCAAAAAACCCAACAATTTAACAACAACAACAACAACAATAATAATAATAATAATAATAACAATAATAATGATAAAAATAATAATAATAACAATAATAATAATAACAACAACAACAACAACAATAATAATAATAACAATAATAAAATAATAATAATAATATAAAAATAATAATAACAATAATAAAAAAACAACACAACAAAATAATAATAATGATAAAATACTATGAAGGACATTTAATGTTGCAGCTTTTAAATATGAATAATTTGTAATTTTCAATTCAATTCAATTTATTTGTATAGCACAATTAAACAAGTTATCTCAGGACACTTTTCAAATAGAGCAGGTCTAGACGAACTCTTAACATTTTCACTGTATTAATCTGTTTTCCTGGTGTAAATGAGCTTCCATACAAATCTAATTAGGAAACAAATACACTGAATGAATAAGAAATGAAATGAATCGGTCAAATAAACAACAGGTGAAAAGATAAATGTATAAAATGAGTAAATAAACTGTGAAAAGCAGAAACTGATTTATTGATTTTATTGTTATTGTTTTATATTTGTGTGTTTATGAAGTGACTGTAATGAAATCAACATGATGAGCTTTAATGTTTGTCAGTTCAGAGCCTCCGTATCGGGCTGGTGGTACTCACAGGTGCAGCTGAGGCGTCCCGACTGAAGGAGGTTTTAGGTAGTGGGCGAGGGTGGAGGTGTGATGGGTAGGAGGAGGCCATGAGTGGGCGTGGCAGCTGGTAAAGGTGATGGGGGAAATATGGCTGGGGGGGGGGTAGAAAATCAAAATAATGTTCATGGAGACGATTCAACATCAAACAGGAAGGAAGCAACTCAAACAAACAACAAACAAACAAACAAACAAACAAACAAACAAACAGTGAATCTCTGCCGACAGACACACTGACCACAGCAGTGTAGCAGCTAACTGAGCTAACAGAGCTAACAGAGCTAACCCGAGCTAACAGAGCTAACCCGAGCTAACAGAGCTAACAGAGCTAACTGAGCTAACCGAGCTAACAGAGCTAACAGAGCTAACTGAGCTAACAGAGCTAACCCGAGCTAAAAGAGCTACCCCGAGCTAACAGAGCTAACTGAGCTAACGAGCAGCTGCTGTCTGGTGGCACATTCATACTGTTTATAAAAGATTCTGTGAGCTACCTGTTTGTAGCTAAGCTAACGGCAGAGACTGACTGATGAACGTTCATCTGACAGCAAATAAAATCAAACTGACACAAATAAATAAATGATAACAAACTGAACCAGGTGACGTCACAGCGTTACCTCACATTCAGCCAATCAGGTGAGTCCAGGACGAGATTTGGGACTAAGAACCTGAGAGCTGACTCTCACCTGTCAATAAGAGTGACATCATCAGGTGTGTGGGCGGAGCCTGTACTCACCCTGTTGTAGAAGGGGTGCTGAGGGCCGACCATGCCGCTGTAGTAGCTGCTGTGAGGCTGCGGGGAGACCACGCCCCCTGCTGGCGGGTTGAACGGCCCGCTGAAGGACGCGGACGGCGAGCACGCCGACGACACCTGAGAGTACACTGAGGTGGGGCGGGGCTGCGCCTCCTGCAGGGGGACGGGCGGGTATGTAACCCCGCCCATATTCATCTGCTCCCGGGCAGCACGAACATCTGGATCAGAGAGAGAGAACATCTGGATCAGAGAACATCTGGATCAGAGAGAGAGAACATCTGGATCAGAGAGAGAGAGAACATCTGGATCAGAGAGAGAGAACATCTGGATCAGACAGAGAACATCTGGATCAGAGAACATCTGGATCAGAGAGAGAGAACATCTGGATCAGAGAGAGAGAGAACATCTGGATCAGAGAACATCTGGATCAGAGAGAGAGAACATCCGGATCAGAAGAACATCTGGATCAGAGAGAGAGAACACGATCAGAGAACATCTGGATCAGAGAGAGAGAACATCTGGATCAGACAGAGAGAGAGAACATCTGGATCAGAGAGAGAGAATATCTGGATCAGAGAACATCTGGATCAGAGAGAGAGAACATCTGGATCAGAGAACATCTGGATCAGAGAGAGAGAGAGAACATCTGGATCAGACAGAGAGAAACATCTGGATCAGAGAACATCTGGATCAGAGAGAGAACATCTGGATCAGACAGAGAACATCTGGATCAGACAGAGAGAGAGAACATCTGGATCAGAGAGAGAGAACATCTGGATCAGACAGAGAGAACATCTGGATCAGAGAACATCTGGATCAGACAGAGAACATCTGGATCAGACAGAGAGAGAGAACATCTGGATCAGAGAGAGAGAGAGAACATCTGGATCAGAGAGAGAACATCTGGATCAGACAGAGAGAACATCTGGATCAGACAGAGAGAACATCTGGATCATAGCACTCGCAGTAGTACTCGCAGTAGTATTCGCAGTAGCACTCGCAGTAGTACTCGCAGTAGCACTCGCAGTAGTACTCGCAGCAGTATTCGCAGTAGTACTCGCAGTAGTATTCGCAGTAGCACTCGCAGTAGTACTCGCAGTAGTACTCGCAGTAGTATTTGCAGTAGTACTCGCAGTAGTATTCGCAGTAGTATTCGCAGTAGCACTCGCAGTAGTATTCGCAGTAGTATTCGCAGTAGTATTCGCAGTAGTACTCGCAGTAGTACTCGCAGTAGTACTCGCAGTAGTATTCGCAGTAGTATTCGCAGTAGCACTCGCAGTAGCACTCGCAGTAGCACTCGCAGTAGCACTCGCAGTAGTATTCGCAGTAGCACTCGCAGTAGCACTCGCAGTAGCACTCGCAGTAGCACTCGCAGTAGCACTCGCAGTAGTACTCGCAGTAGCACTCGCAGTAGCACTCGCAGTAGTACTCGCAGTAGCACTCGCAGTAGTACTCGCAGTAGTACTCGCAGTAGTACTCGCAGTAGCACTCGCAGTAGTACTCGCAGTAGCACTCGCAGTAGTACTCGCAGTAGTACTCGCAGTAGCACTCGCAGTAGCACTCGCAGTAGTACTCGCAGTAGCACTCGCAGTAGTACTCGCAGTAGCACTCGCAGTAGTACTCGCAGTAGTACTCGCAGTAGTACTCGCAGTAGCACTCGCAGTAGTACTCGCAGTAGCACTCGCAGTAGCACTCGCAGTAGCACTCGCAGTAGCACTCGCAGTAGCATTCGCAGTAGCACTCGCAGTAGTACTCGCAGTAGTACTCGCAGTAGTATTCGCAGTAGTACTCGCAGTAGTACTCGCAGTAGTACTCGCAGTAGCATTCGCAGTAGTACTCGCAGTAGTACTCGCAGTAGTACTCGCAGTAGTATTCGCAGTAGTACTCGCAGTAGTACTCGCAGTAGTACTCGCAGTAGTATTCGCAGTAGTACTCGCAGTAGCACTCGCAGTAGTACTCGCAGTAGCACTCGCAGTAGTATTCGCAGTAGTACTCGCAGTAGTATTCGCAGTAGTATTCGAGTATCGCAGTAGCACTCGCAGTAGTATTCGCAGTGATGCACTCGCAGTAGTACTCGCAGTAGTATCGCAGTAGCACTCGCAGTAGTACTCGCGAGTAGCACTCGCAGTAGTACTCGCAGTAGTACTCGCAGTAGTACTCGCAGTAGTACTCGCAGTAGTACTCGCAGTAGTACTCGCAGTAGTACTGCAGTCGCAGTGGTACTCGCAGTAGCACTCGCAGTAGTACTCGCAGTAGTACTCGCAGTAGTACTCGCAGTAGTACTCGCAGTAGTACTCGCAGTAGTACTCGCAGTACTAGCACTCGCAGTAGTAACTCGCAGTAGTACTCGCAGTAGTACTCGCAGTAGTACTCGCAGTAGACTCGCAGTAGCACTCGCAGTAGTACTCGCAGTAGCACTCGCAGTAGTACTCGCAGTAGTACTCGCAGTAGCACTCGCAGTAGTATTCGCAGTAGTACTCGCAGTAGTATTCGCAGTAGCACTCGCAGTAGCACTCGCAGTAGTATTCGCAGTAGCACTCGCAGTAGTATTCGCAGTAGTACTCGCAGTAGTACTCGCAGTAGTATTCGCAGTAGTATTCGCAGTAGTACTCGCAGTACCTGCTATGATCTCCCTCAGTTTGGGGTCCAGGTTCACGGTGCAGGGCAGGAAGGTCCGGATGTCTCGGGCCGTTAGGACCGGCGTTCGTGACGACAGGAAGACCTCGAAGCTGCGAACGTCTCCGTCGATCTCGAGCAGAGGCTCCACGTCTTTGGTGGTCGGGATGTTCTTGGACACCCTGAGAGAGAAAATACAATGATCATTCTGATCGATCGACGGGATCAGATCAATCGTATCGCAGACGACCTCTGACCTCTCGTAGATGGTCTTGAGCGTGGCCTGGTCCGGGACCCCGTCGGTCTCCTCCAGGTACAGGATGAGCCAGGACGTCCTGTAGGGCCACTGCTCTGTCAGGTTGATCCAGGACGCCAGGCGGTCCCAGTTAAAGCTGATCTGATTGGCTCGCAGCAGACGGCCTGCAGGAAGAGGAAGTTACATCACAGACTGACAGTAATAATAAAATCCACCTGTTTGGATCAGATGTTCAGTGTTTCTCTTCTTAAACTCCAGAGGGCGCCGGTGTCAGTAGCTGTATCGGGGAGCGTGGCGGCGGGAAGCCCGACAGTGTCGTTAAAATGAGGCAGCTTATTGTAAACATAAAATCAAATCAGGAGAGTGAGAGAAGATGGATGCAGATACGAAGGTTATATCATAATTAATGATTCTTTTATTTGAACAATAAAATATATTTTCTGAGAAATTAAAGATTATAATTTGTCTCAGTTGAAATAATCTGATCCTCTAATTCATCCTGATTCTGATCAAGTGTTTGTTGTTTGTTTGTTCCTGTACTGTATCTGTCTGTAGATATCTGGTTATAAATAAGGACTTTATGTTATTTTATGGGCTTTAGAACTGATGGCGGAGTTTTTAACGACACAGTGTCAGTGCTGATATTGATCCTGTGATCAGCTGATTGATTGATGACCTGTGACGGAGACGATGTTGAGCAGCCTCCTCATCGTCTGTGGGCTGATGTCACTGAACCAGTCCTCCGTCACCATCAGCTTCGTCAGGTCGAACGACATCTGCCGAGTCACCGAGCGCTGCACCTGCCGGCGCCGGTACGTGTCCTGAACACACAGGTCACATGATCAGACAGGAAGCATCCACACACACACACACACACACAGACACACACACACACACACACACAGACACACAGACACACACACACACACACACACACACACACACACACACACACAGACACACACACACACACACACACACACACACACACACACACACACACACACACTCACACACACACACACACACACACACACACACACACACACACACTCACACACACACACACACACACCACACAAAACACACAACAAAAACAAAAACAACAAACAAAAACACAACAAAACACAAAAACACACACAAAAAAAAACACACCACACACACACACACACTCACACACACACACTCACAAACACACACACAACAAACACACACACACACACACACACACACACACAAAAACACACACAAACACACACACACACCACACACACACACTCACACACACACACACACACACACACACACACACACACACACACACACACACACACACACACACACACACACACACACACACACACACACACTCACACACACACACACACACACACACACACACACACACACACACACACACACACACACTCACACACACACACACACACACACACACACACACACACACACACACACACACACACACACACACACACACACACACACACACACACACTCACCCTGCGGTTGAGCGTCGTCTTGCTGCCAAACTTGGTTAACTCTCCCAGACTGTGCTGAGACAACTTCCTGTCCAACTCCTCATGCCAACCTGCAGACAGACAGACAGACAGACAGACAGACAGACAGACAGACAGACAGACAGACAGACAGACAGACAGACAGGCAGACAGACAGACAGGCAGACAGACAGACACAGGCAGACAGACGGGGTGAATGAACAGCGTTAACCAGCTCTTATATTACTGAGAAAAGTTCATTATTGAAACAGTCAAACTGTTAGTCTCATTGATCAGAATACACTGTATCATTATTGATTATTGATCAGTATACACTGTATCTTTATGGATCATTGATCAGTATACACTGTATCATTATTGATTATTGATCAGTATACACGTATCTTTATGGATCATTGATCAGTATACACGTATCATTATTGATTATTGATCAGTATACACGTATCTTTAGGATCATGATCAGAATACACTGTATCTTTATGGATCATTGATCAGTATACACTGTATCATTATTGATTATTGATCAGTATACACTGTATCTTTATGGATCATTGATCAGTATACACTGTATCATTATTGATTATTGATCAGTATACACTGTATCTTTATGGATCATTGATCAGTATACACTGTATCTTTATTGATTATTGATCAGAATACACTGTATCTTTATGGATGATATTGATCAGTATACACTGTATCATTATTGATTATTGATCAGTATACACTGTATCATTAGAATGCTGTTGTCATGGTTACCGTCAGCGGTGGCAGTGTCCCCGTTAGCCGGCGCAGCGGCACACATCTTCCTGGCGCTGGAGAGTCCTCTGCTGTTGAGGAAGACGGGCAGGTGGACGATGTTCCTCATGTAGTCGTGTCCGTTGATGTTGGAGTCTCTGAGGACGCTGTTCAGGTTCTGGTTGATGGCTTTGATGATGATGTGGGGATCGCTGGCGAAGATAGAGATGAAGGGGCCTTTGGAGAACAACACCCGCACCTGCAGCACAAACAGAGAGGAAGAACGTCACTGACTGTGGTGCTGCCTCAGTATCTGGACCTCGTGGATCCAGGACGAGAGGAGTCCAGGAGGGATCAGTGGACGGAATTTAAGAATCATCATCTTCCAAAATAAAACTGAAGAATGCTACAGAAGATGAAGACTAACAGGCTACAGGCTGACAGGCTGAT